AACAAAAACAACAACAACAACAACAAAAACTAGATTGGATACTGTAGTCTATAATCGCATAAAAGGGAGAGGAGGATGAAAAGGAAAAAAAAAAAAAAAAAATTGTCGCCTAATATGAGTATGACTTTAACGCCCTCTTTCGACTTCTTGCCTTCAAATCTGCCTGATAAATTTCATGATGCCACTGTTTGTTGTTATGGTGTACCTCAGGATTTAATTTAATTTTTTGCTTGTTTTGTTTATAAACTTTCTTTCCCTCTCCAGATCCCTTGTTCTGGCCTTTCACTATTGAAAAACAGTTCAGGGCCAGCTCTAAGAGTATCTGTGGCATGCATGGCAGAAGAATCCACCATTGGCGGGGGTGGGGGGTGTCCACTCACTCAGGCAGGCTTCCCCTCTCGTCAACAGAATGGAGGTGCGCAAACAGTGGTGGGGCCAATGAACAGATACCAAAAAAGAAGAAAATAAAAAAAATCAGAACAAAGCAAAACTGACAAAAGTGTATTATCTACCTTTGCGATGAGGTGCCCGAGAAATACCAAAACACACTCTCAATTAAGTATTAAGGCCATAGATAAACACCAAACATGTCCAAGAAGCAAAAGCAGATGACCATATCAACACATGTCCAGAAATAAGATAAAATGTTTGTGGTGGTTCTGCTCCCTCCTTGGTCTTGCTGTTTAGTCTTGCCCAAGTTGTTGGCTCCTGGCTGCAGAGCCCGGCAGATTTAAAAATATGCAATTTCTTACTTCTGCTACAAGTTCCACTAGCTATAAGCCTTCACAATTTAAAAATATTCCTACCTATGTTATTCTGAATTTTGGATCTCTGCCCTGAACCCTTTTCACCTTGTGTTCTGTGGTATTGCTGATAGCTAACTTCACTGCACCTTTATCCTATCTGCCATCAAGCCTGAACTGATCATTTGGATTGTGACCCTTTCCTGTCAGAATCCTTTTTGTTTCTGAGTCTTACACCTTGTTTTGCACATTGTTGGCATTCACAGAATGTGATCATAAGATAAAATGAAATAAAAATTCTTTAAACACCAGTGACTAATAATAAAGGTCAAATATCTTCTCATGTTTAGAGATTGAGGTTGTTGTGCAGCACTAATAAAATGTCAAACTTCTGTAGTTCCTATGTCATACTAAGGAGGATGCCTTATGAAATACAATAAACTAATCGTCTAGTTAAGAGTAGTATATCCCCATATTGCTAATGTAAACGCATGTCAACAAATTCTAGTTTGAGAATCAAAGCGCTTGGCGTTCTTTCCAGGGAACTGGAAAATAAAATTGTCTCTGAGAATTAAACTCCAAATTAATAAATAATGGATCAAATTAGAGTTAAGCAAACATACTTTAATAAGCAGAATGACTTCCAAGTAGATAGCATACAGTAACCTAATCAAAGAAATGAACAGATGTGAAGAAACTATGTGGGAGAGCTGGTTTACATGACGACGTAGAAAAGGAGAGTCAGAGATGCAAATATGTGCAATGCTAATTCCAAAGGGAGTCCAGACCAAGTCATATGGCCAGCCATATCCTAGACACTGATGAATCTCTGTGATGAAAATGAGTACAAGAGATTTTCTTAACTTATTGACCTTGGAATCATAACCTTATAACAGAATGTTTTCTGTACTGGTCCCAAGTTCAACAGCTTGCTGATTATAGTAAGATTTCTTATGTATCAGAAAGAAATTCACAGCTTCAACCATTAAGAATCTAGTTCTTTTGGCAGTTGTATTAATTTCTCTTGTGAGTTTAGTCATTGTTATTCAGTGGACTCCAGAGGATTGACAAGATCAAGTTTCTTAACTTTTTAACTTGGGAGGCAGATCCTGGATCTTGACTTCTTCACCATTTGAATACCAACTTAAGTCTTCTAACAGCCTGCCAGACTTCCACAGTGATGCTCCTTTTGCCTGGTATCACTGTGAAATATTGCTACTACTTGTTGTTTTGGTAAGTACTGTCTAGATGGATCTTGGCTAAAAGCAGAGAATATCAGAAAGATATTTACCTGTGCTTTACTGACTACGCAAAGTCTTTCGATTGTGTGGATCGTGGCAAGCTATGGACAACATTGAGAAATATGAGTATTCCAGAACACATAATTGTACTTCTGAGAAATCTGTACCTGGACCAAGAAGCAGTTGTTCGAACAGAGCATGGGAACACTGAATGTTTTAAAATTGGTAAAGGTGTGCG